CCTGTATATATATATATATATATATATATATATATATATGTATATATGTGGCTGTGTTCGTCGTCTCTCTATCTCCTCTTCCCTTTGCCTTTCTGAGCGTTGCACCCGATTGCAACCGGTGTCACTCTTACGGTTCCGTTCCTGCACCGCCACGAAGATACGTGCCTCGCGGCACGATCGCGATTTATCACGCGATGTATAGGGACGCTTCTATAAATATATTAAATTCGAGTTAACTGGGATTTTGGGTGGCTTCGTCTCTTTTTAGCTCCGTCTAAGAAGAGACGGATAAATCTCGATCTACTCCAGGCGCGTGAGCGCGGCGCGACGAGGGGAGGGTTTAAAACGCGCCGAAATTACCGTAGAATATTCTCCATTTCGAGGATATCCTTCGTGAATGTCGCGACGATCGCCTCGATAACACGACGTAAAAGGTAATGGCTCGCCAAAGATACGGTGACTCGATTCGTCATAATCACAACAATATCGTAATGGCGCAAGCGTATATCTGTGCATGCCATATGTGTGTGTATGTGTGTTTATTTATTTATTTATTTATAAATTTTTTTGTTGAGAAGAACAGCCTACGCGCGCTTCGCTTGGTTATGATCTTGGGTATATCTATGTGTCAATCTTCCTTAAATTACATAAGGGAAGAAGACGGCGTGTCGTGGCATCATATTAAAAATATAATTGGAAAGAGTGAACCTGAGAGTGGTGAAAAGACTATGTTCGAAAGCGATGATCATCCGTTGAACGAATCCACATTGCTAATTGGCTAATTAAAAATTTTTAATTGGTAACTGTATAAAATTTCACTGACTGATGTGAATGAGTGCTGTCAGAGGAGAGGGGAGAGCTCTCCCTTATTTTAATTTTCACGCGCGTCTAAGTAGGGCTTTCACCCGTTGCTCCGAATTTTAAATAAAAGCACATTTGGACGATTTGTTTTTTTATCAAGCGCAACGAGTCCCACCGAGTGATCAGTGTGCAATTTTGTACACTTTTTTGTATTATTATTACGCGAGCTTAATGGAAGATATAAATACTGTTGATAAATTTAGTAAAAGAAAAGCCTCTAGGGTATGAAATAAGACGTTGGATGTATCGGTATCAGTTTGTATCGATTTGGCAATTTGGAATTTTTGAAAATTAGGAATACGCTTAATAAATCGTATTATATGAACAGGCTTTAAGAGCAAAATTTCGTCGTCGCGTTTCGCGAAACGATAGTCGAAGGGCGTCGGAGGAGATAAGAAGCTAAGAAAGATCTCCGTCGAGTATCGTCTTCGTTCGCTCGCAAAAGGAAGCGCCCCGCGTTTTATTTTGGTCGACCGCTTTTCGAATCGCTTGTCGCACTATCCTCGATTGAAACCTTAATTGATGATTCCATCCTACCGAAATTGTCGACAATTCGTTGGCAATGTTCGCGCGTTATGTCTCGACACATCGCGATCTACGAGATTTGGGAACGATCGATCTTTGCAATGATAGTGAAACTACTAATTTCTAATTGCACCGCAATCTGTTTTTGGCATGAACGTGTTATATACTTAGGGGAGGAGAAGAGAAAAGTTGCGGAAGCTTAATACGTAATCATCTATGCTCATTTATTTATTTGTATGATGATAATCGTAGAAACATGTGCTATATAGAATCATGGAAAATCTCTCGCTAAATTTAATCTTTCTCGCATTCGTGTGTTCTGTATTATCTTCAAAATTACGATTTATGAAAAAAAATGTGTGAATTTATAAAAAGAATACAGGGTAAGTCACGATTCTTATCAAACGTTCGTTAACAATTCCTAATTAATTCAACTGAGCGCTCTTCATTCTTTCCGCGATACCCGTCGTAATGAAGGTAACGATTTAACTTGTGTAGTTATCCAACTCCGTTAATTAAGAATTATGTCTAACTTCAAATGCCGACGAGTTAACGAGAGTTCCGTCAAAGAATAACGACTTTTATTTTAACGTCGTATCATTAAAAGATAATTATATGCCGTTTCGCAGCTGACGCCGAAAGTAGAGAGAGACTCTCCACCACTAACGACCGTCCTCTTCTTTTTATTTTAGTTTTTAATGAAGAGCTTCCATTGTCATAACAGTATAACCGGATCCATTTTCCCGTAATCCCAGCTCGTAATTCCTGAATTCGGTATGCGCGAGAGACTGACGCAACGAGGGAGAGTCCGCACAAAATTGCGAAACGAAGGCGAGCGACGATAACGGAAGCGTCCAGTTTACATCGCGAAAAGTTGCAACGCAGCGCAGCGTGACGGCGACGGCGGCGATGACGACAACAACGACGACGACAACGACGATGATGATGGTGGTCACGTTCTTTTATCAAAACCACTTGCTCGCACAGATATAAATAAGACCGTGACTATCGGTGCGCTATCACGTCGTATCGCCAGCTTACCGTTCCCCATCCATGCGATTAAGCACGACCTTAACCCTCTCGCGGGTGCCCTTTCGTCGCCCCGTCTTCCTCCCACGAAGAAATTTACATACTCACGGGAATAATTATAGAATGATGTATAATTATCGAGTTACGTGGTAGCCGTCTCGCGACACCAAGTAAGAATTTATTATATCCGTGTACAGGGTGTCTGAGGAACGTGCGAATTTTCTGAAACGAATTCTTCGACCGACTTGAAGTCGATCTTACTTTGGCAAAAATGTCAATAGTTTTTGAACTATAAAAAGTGGAACTTTCCCCTGAGTTATAATAAGCGGAACTTTGAACTTTAATTGGAAATTTATCCATTAAAAATTTTATGTACGGGATGTAATTATATAAAAAAAATTGGATGATTGTGGTGACAGCGAAATCAGCTCCAAATTGACGAAGGAATTTAATACTGAAACTTTCAATTCTTTGGAATATTCTGTATATACGATTTATTGCGAGTACGTACATCGAGTGTTTTTCGATATCTGGAAATCTTACGACGAACAAATAATCTTAAATCTCAATTAAGATAATAGGACAATTATAATTATTAATTTACCAGGAATTAATCGAGGAAACGTATAAAGTGTTGAGTTTGCAAAAACTTCATGAAATTCAGAAAAGAATCAAAATGTTCACTGAACCTTTTTTTACTTTTTTTTTTTTTTTTTTTTTTTTTTTTTTTTTTTTGTTTAATATAATCGAATTCTTTTTCCTGAAACGTTCACCCGACGTCCTCGGTGAGGAGAGCCCGCTCTCCTCCTCGCGAAACTGTCCCCTTCTCCAAACTGCCAGCTCCCCCCTGGTACCCTCTCGCACCTCACCGCGCCTCAACGATGACAGTGAACTAGAGAGAGGCGCGATGCACGCCACAGTGGTGCGTCGACAGCAACGGGAGAGGGAAAAATTCAATGAGCCTGTAAGGAGGTCGGTTATTTTCTTGCAGGCCAGCGACTCTCGAAGTTCACTGACGTCTCGCGTTCGCGTTCACGGCGGCAACGGCAACGGCGACGACGATGGCTGGTTGATTAAACTCTTTGCCATTCACGGTTTCCCCTGGGAGGCATCGCGTTTGTCGCGTCACCTTTTGAAACGACGTTGCCTCTCGATCGAGCTTTATCGGCGTTAAAATCGAAAAAGAAAACTCAAACTCTCTCTCTCGTTCGATAGATATTCGCTTTAGTTTACCTGCCTCTTTGCACATGCCCTCATCAAGATAGGTGTTAAAAATTTCTATCAGTTGATTATTTAGTCCACAAAGCGATAAAGAGTTAGTAAATAGGCCAAGAGAAATTTATTATGTAGTATATCTATGTACAATATGTGACGAAAGAGAAAGAGAAAGAGAGCAGATTTCTACATATTTTTTATTGATGAAATTCAAAAGATGATTAATTACACGGATCGTAGCTATCTATTATGTGCTTTATCGAGTTGTAATTTTCAATTTGCAATTCTCGCTGTAGTCCGAGATATCTACTTAATCGTATGCATATTTGCATATTAAATGTAGAAGGCGCAAGAAAACGTGGTTAGAGGACGAACAGATTTATTGATGAATCATCCTCCGTTTGACCTTGTGCATAGCCTGTGAGAGGGGCACAACACGCTCCAGAAGAGGGAGTCCCCGACATCATCCCTAACCGCCGTTCCCTGTTGCCGCCCCGTCAAGATATCGACCCAGGGAATTGCATCCTCTGCGTTCTCTATCGGTTACCCTCCAACTGTCGCATTTCTCCCGCAGGACCCTTCTCCCCGATTCACATCCACTAGGTTCCTTCAATCATGCAGCACGAATGGCGATACATTAGTATTGGCATTGGCCTCCCGGAACATTCATATTTGAGCTATGTGCCATAACTCTCGATTATGAATCGCATCGTGAATCCTTATTCATTTGCTCTTGCGAAATTCGAGTCGAGATTCTATGCTTCGTGATTTCAATGAAACTGAATATCGCTCGATAATTTGACTGCCATGGGAAACCTTACACAGGAATGTTACATCTATAATTTGAATCTAGGCGGAATGCAGCTGTTTAGAATTCTCGATTAGATATTTATTATAATTAGAAGATAAAATCATTGTCAAAATGCCATATCTCTCAAGAAAATATAGACCTTGATTACGATGCGGCGGACCAAATGATGTGTTCACCCTTTGAGTGCCAATTTCGCTTTCATGCATTTGCCAGAAGTGAGGAAAATAATTCAGATTGATATGAAACACATTATATGCGATGTGGAACAAAAAAATAAAAAAAAATAAAAAAAAGGAAATAAAGTAGTTCCTCGTAGACTTTTCGATGTTTTTTATCGCAGTAATGCTCCATTGCAATTTCAAAATTGATCGAAAACGATCGCTCTCTTTCATGTGAGTTTAAATCTTTTTATTGAATTGTATAATTTAAAGTTGAGATTGTCCGATTTGAGGAAGTGGTGAAAGTATTCTTGGCTATCAAAAATTTCTTTTGGTTCGTTCATGTCCCGATATCAAGACAATTCGACATCGCGGTCGTATTTCACGAATTTCCGCGATGCGGAGGGGAAAGAGGGACGGCCAAAAGTTCGTAGCGCGCGGCACGTGTCCGAGAGCCAGGGGATAACTTTAGAAGTGGTTCGTCGGATCTCTTTTAGCGTCAGGATTCGCGCGTGGGAAGAATTTATTTCGGTAGCGTATCCCCCACGTATTTTGTCCGCGAAATGGGCTTAAACGGCCTGACTGACACGGCAGCACGCGACGTGTGCCGATCGCTAAATGCCTCTACGTTATCGTGTCGTGATATCCCGTGCCCATGCCAATCAATCTGATTGCTGTAGAGTAACAGCCAGTCGAACGGCTGAAATTTGTACGACTCTTTGCACGACTGTTCGTCGCCACGACGAATAAATCCATGGTTCTATATATTCGAGCCATTTCGTAATAAAACAAAGATTAAAATAGGTAAAATATCGAAAAGTACTCGGAGATTTTTTGTAGATAAGAAAAATAAAATAAAATGTACACAATAAGTCAGCATTATTGACAGTCAATAAGTACTGACTATTGTGATCGCTTCTCTCTCTCTCTC